TGCAGAGAGGTCAGGAAGGCCATTAGCCATGTGACTGCATGTGTATGATCCCTAGGGCCTTCCAGTGGAGATGAGCTCTTGACACTGAAGGGTCCACACTGTTTTTCACACATCACCAGCATCTCCGATAGACAACACTGGTATTTACAGGGAACAAAGACTTCCTCATACCAGTTTCTGAGCTGGAGAAGTACTGCCACCCAGCCATTTAACTGGACCAGTTAGCTTGATATTCAGCATCTTCAAGACAGGAACTGTGTGTGGCTGGAGGGAGGGTTTGGCTGAAGTGGCCTTGGATAGCGATGAGTAGGGTAGGGGATGAATGTTTGAGACGTTTTTATGCTATCATGTATTCATAGAGTGGTTTAGCAACAAATTAAAAAATAAAAAAAAATTAGTGTCCACCCAGGGATGCCAGCCTCTAGTTTTCAGACATGGTGATATACATCTTTAATCTTATAAACCCAGCACTCAGAAGGCAGAGGCAGGTGGATCTCTATGAGTTTGAGGCCAGCCTGGGCTATGTAGTGAGACCCAGTTGGGGCAGGTGGGGTGTTGTCTCTGGGACAATGCTTGTTATTAGCTATTTATAGAAAAAAGCAGCATGGACAGACACTGTCCCCACAACACCCTAGTCTCCAAGACTATGTATAATATCTGCAATTCATGGTTAAAGAGAAGCTAGAATTCAGGAGAGAGAGAGAGAGAGAGAGAGAGAGAGAGAGAGAGAGAGAGAGAGAGAGAGAGAGAGAACAAAAAGTAGCTGGGCTTGAATATATAACCTGTGATGTGATCCCAGTACTTGGGAGGTTGAGGCAGGAGGATTGTGAGTTTGGGGCTACTTCTACTTCTTGGTACTACACAGGGAGACCCTGTATGAAAACAAAACAAACAAATGCTATAACTAAATAAAAAAGGTAAATAGAGTGATCTTGACATTCTTGCCATAATCTAATTGTCATCACAGTAAAAAGGTGATCTATGTTTCTTGTTCAACAGTGGTTGGGTGTCTGCAAAACAGCTGTCATGCATTTTCTCCTTGCATCCTGATGGTGACCCTGTGAGGTGTTCCTTTGCTGCGAGGCTGTGCCCACACCAGGCACCGGACATTGAGGGTGAGCACAAGGGATGCTGAGTTCCTGGCTTCAGGGAGGTCACGGCCAGTGCAGAGGGACCACCAGGATCCCTGGCTTAAAAGGTGGAAAGAATGCTCTGATGGGTTCTGGACACTGGCTGGCCTCTGATCAGCCCAGACTCAGCTCCAGAGGCCTGTCCACCCTCCTGCCATGTCCTGTGTACACAGCCTTTGCAGAGGCCCTTCCCTGTGTGGCTCTGGAGTAGCTCCTGCACTGTCTGTTAGAACAAGCAAGCTTTGTGGATGGGAACGTCACAGGGTGAGACAGTGAGCTGAACTGCTTGTGAGTTGTCATGGGGATGCCCTGTGTGCTCTGCTTTCCTGGTCTGGTGTGGCCCTGGAGGTTAGCTATTAGACACGCTCCCCTCTCCAGACTCTGCAAACACTGAAACAGCCTCCAGCCTGGGCAGTGAACATTTCCCTGAGCTGTTCACAAAGTAGGTGTGTGTGTGTGTGTGTGTGTGTGTGTGTGTGTGTGTGTGTCTTCATCTGCCATATTTTTGAGACAGGATCTACTCATCGGCCAGGAACTCATCGGGTAACCTCGGCTGGCTGGGCTGGCCAGTGAGACCCAGGGAGACCTGTCTCCTCATTCCCTGTATTGGGATACACACTGCCACACTTTTTTTTTTTTTTTTTTTCAATTTCTGAGAATAGAATGCAAGTTCTGTTTGTAAGACAGACGCTTCACCAAGTGAGCTACATCCTCAGCATGTCTTTCTATGGTTTTATTTATTCTTAAGTGTTCTGTGTATATTTCACAGGGCACTTAAGGTTCCCCTCTCACCTTGTCCCTGCTGAGGAAAAGTAAATGGAGGTGGTAGCTGGGAGCTGCTTCTCACTAGACAAACAGCTGAGGAACTGACCCCTCAGGTCCAAGACTCTGGGCCCACTCTGCTGAGGTGTGAGAGGTCCCAACCCAGCCCTCAGCTCCAGGTGAAGAACCAGTACCATCTGCTCTTCCATTAACCTGCTTTCTAGGACCCCTGAGGAGCCAGGCCAGTGTCCAGAAGTACAGTGTTCCAGCTTACCCTTCAGGGTGTGTTTATATAGTCCCACCTAAGAGTCAGTATTCACACCATATCAACTCCAGCAAAGCGTAAGACGCAGCCAGAGCACCCCTCTAAAGTGCAGTCTCCTCCCGGGGCCTGGCTGGCTGGTTCTTCTCTCCTTAGTTCTTTCTTGGTGTCTGTGTCTCTCTGATAAATGATGCTCTCAACTCCAACTCTCCCTGTTCACTCTCTGCAGGTGAGAGACACTTGAAATGTTGAGTTACTGATTTTGTAAAAAGCAGGGGTGATCAGACTCCAAACATCAGATGATGGAAAACCCCACCATTGCAGCTGAGCACCCACCTCAGGGCAATGAGAACTCTCAGTTCAAGGATGAAAAAGTCAACGAGAGGACATTTTTCTCAGAAAATCAGAATTGATACCCTGAAGCAAGACACTTGCACAACAGATAAAATAATGTAGTGCATTTTGTGGGCTTTTTTTTTCTGGTTTGAAAAATATTTCTCATATAACACTTACAGCTCATATGGTTTATGATAGATGTTAAGGTGGCTGCTAAGACCATGTTAATATTCTCACACATGGATTCCCCAAAGTAAAACATTTGTGTCACTCACCTCTCCCCATCCTTCATCTTTCAGTTAGTGCGAATGCCCTGTAGCAATGGTACCTGTATAAAGAGGTCACCCAGGCGGAAGAGATGGCTCAGGGGGTTAAGGAGCTCGACACCAAGCCTGACGACCTGAGTTCAACTTCTGGGACCCACACGGTGGAGAGAGAGGACTGACTCCCCAAAGTTGTCGTCTGACCTCCACGGGAGTGCTGTGGCATGCACACACCCCTCTTCCTCACAATAAATTAAAAAAAAAAAAAAGAGTGCACACTGCCACATTAGAATAGCTTATAACAAGCATCCTGGGGATGTCATCTCAAAGGAATGAAGTGTTTATGTTGGCTCACAGGCTGGGGTAGGGTCCATCATGGCTGGAAAGGCATGGCAGCAAGAGCTGGAGGCAGCCTGCCATCTTGTCTCCATAGGAAACCAGGCGGGGGTGGGTGTTGGAATTCCTGGCCACTCCCCCAGCTGCATGACTGCACATGTGCAGTTCAGTAGCCAAGCAAGGGGTCTTACATCCTACATAATCTGTGCACTGCGTGATCTTGTAATTTGCATGCAGGGTGACCACACAATCTATGCACATGCGTGGTGTAGCTCCATAAGTCCATATGTGTATGTGCAGAGGAATCCATAAGAAGCGGGGCACCAGACTCCTTCCCCTTCTTCTCTCCTTCTCCTCCCCGCCTTCTCTCTCTGCACATGTCTTCCACAGGCCTGCTCATGCTTTCTTCTGTTCCTCTCTTCTCCTCATAAAGCTCTGACAGTGGGTTTTGTCATGCCTCGTGGCTTTTCTACCACAGTAACAGCGTCACTTAATCCTGCATTAAAACCAACAGTGGGGAGAAGAAAGCTACTGATCAGCCACTTTATTCAGTGTCCTGGACCCCTACTACCGAATGGTGCCACCCACATTTAGGATGGTCTTCCCACCTCTGTAACCTAACACACACACACACACACACACACACACACACACACACACACACACACACACACACACACACACAAATCTATCTCAGACTTTCCCAGAGATTTGTTTCCGTGGTAATTCTAAATCCTGTTGAGGTGACAATTGAGATTAACCATCACACCCCTTTCCTAGTCAAACTCTACATTTTCCTTATCTTCTCAATCCACATTTTTTTTTTCTGAATTCTCACGAGAAATCTGGCTAAGAGCAGCCAGTAACAGCCATGCCACAGGCTGAATGTTCTACTATATGGAAACCTCCTCCATTAAACAGATGCTAGTCTGTTACTTTTGAATTTAGCCTCACTCAAAATTTCAGGACACAGATACAGCGTAATCAGATCCTTTGCTATAATGTAACACAGATGGCCTCTAGCCCAAGGAAAGCGATATTTCAAAGAAACAAGGTGAAAGGAAGGGAGGTTGGGAGGAAGGAAAGAAGGATGGAAGAAGGAAGGAAAAAGACCCATGCTAGCTACCACTAGTGAGTCCTCTTCAGGAGTGGGCAGGCTGCCATGCATCCCAGCAGCTCCCTGTTGGGAATCCATTTAGCATAACAATCAGGCCATTTAACAGGACAAAGCAGTTAATATTTTGCTGTCTTGTCTTTGCACTTGGCTCTTTCCTCAGTTCCAGTTGACTCAGGGGTGTGTTAGAAATTGGTATTCATGACCTTCCTTTTGAGAGAGGACATAATACCTGAACTCAACATGCAGTGAAATAAACATTCAAGGTCTTAAGGTTGGCATGCTCTCTTATCTCGTATTTAAGTAAATGTTTTCCTTTGTACTGACCTGCTCTGTGCTGAAGACCATGTATCTCTTTTCTCATGGTCCCATCAACTTCTGGGGGACACTGTTGGGATCCTGTGGAACTGGGGTCAGAAGAAAAAATACCGACATCTTCTTGTGTCAATCCCGATACTGTCCTAGTTATCTGCCTATGGCTACGGGAAATCGACAAAGCAGTATCAGGGTTGTCACAGGAGTGGGAGACTAGTCAAAGACTGGCCTGTTCTGGCATTCATCAGGCAAGAACCAACATTCCTGATCAGAGTTATGCAGAATGACTGGAGAGCCGGGGCTCCCATAAGCCTGGGTGAAAAGTGAGAAGTTGATGATACCCAATCTGCTGGATTATAACCTGGGAGACAGCAAGATGACGGAGACACAGGCTTATTTTTAAGATCCCTGCTATTACCTGCACATTTACTGTGTGTGTACTGTGACTTAAGAACCAGGGAAAATAACTTGGGGTCCTCTTTGCTCATAACTTTGTTCCCATCAAGCTGGCCGGGGGCCTTCTTCTCTACCTGGGTAGAAATCCATGAGCATGGGCAGAAGAAGTGGTTTAGGCATCTTTGGTTGGCAGTGTGTGTATTCATTCTCTGGTGTTTGATTGCAATGGACCTTGGTAGGTGACTCGCAGAAGCGGCAGAAGGTGGCACTCTCGAGTGTAGACGCTCCTGAGCTGGTCTTGGGTAGTGGGACCCTAGCTTTGTCTCTCTCTTGTGCAGGCCTAGGTGTTTGGGTTCCTCAGTCGTAGGCAGTAGTCCGTGTTCCAGCTCCAGGTCTGAGGGCTTGACAGGGCTCTGGGACCCTTCCTGGGCCCCTGGCCTGGTGTTGATATTTTCTGCTCTTTACAGCTTTCCTTCCTCCCTTAGCACTCTGCCTTCTTTGTACTTCCACCCTGGCTTGTTTGGCTGCCTCCTGTTGCTATGGTCTCATTGCTATGGTGACCGTAGGGCTGCTGTTGACCTCCGGTCTTGCAACTTCTGCTCCTTCAGCTACTGGGCAGCCGGCTGCCTTGATGCTTTTGTGACTCTGACTGCTGGATTCGGCTGCTTTTTCAGCCCCAAAGCCATTGGCTGCTCTGCGGTCCCTGTTATTACTGCTTTCTCGTTGCTGCCGAGGGGCTGGCAGTCCACTGCGGCTCGGTTGTTGCCCTACCGTCTCCGCTGTCTCCTTCTTAGCTCATGTTACCGCTACTGAAAGGAGGCAAGAAAAGACCACTTGAGAGAAGCTTTTAATTGGGCCTAATGTTGCAGCACCAGGAAAGGAAGCTCAGGAGGGTACCACTCAGCCGGTTCCTGTGAGCCTGGATAGCTTGCTTAAATAGCCAGAGAAGGGAGGGGTGTTTGGCACCCATCACTGCAATGCCCTGTAAGCACTAGTCACAGCAGTTTCTCTGCTCAGCCACCAGGGGGCGTGGTCTCTCTGGCCTTGCTGGAAATGGCTGCAGAGTGAGTCAAGTATAGAGTTCAGCAGAAAAGCCAGCAGGAACTGAGGCAGTATGGCGGTGGCTGCCCTTTCTGGAGCTGGGTCAAGCTGCTGCTTGTTGTGTGGATTTTTCAAGATGCCTGCAGATATTCAAACCATTGTCACTGGCATAAGGGTGGTCCTGATGGCTAGTTGGCCAGCCCTTCCCCGAACCCTTTCCTGCAAGGCAGTTAGGGCCGCCGGGCAGAGTTCAGAGGCTGCCAATTAGGGATTCACATTGCCCATCCCCCATGGTCTTTGCTTACTCCCAGGAAAATGAGCTTCAGGAGTGCTCGCAGTGGGGACTTAAACACACCATTTCCACAGCTGAACAATTTTTAAACAACGCTATAACAATTCTTAGCACCTACCTGTCCAGTTCCTTAAAGAGAGGCAGGTCCCCTTTATCTGTCTCAGCCTGCTAGGGAGACAGGTGTGTGAACAGACGCCGTGATTCCGAGTGAAGACTGAAGGTCAAATGTTCTTGGGAGGATGGAGTGGGGTGCGAAGGCTCATAGACAGCTTTGTGTGGCGGCAAAGGGGAGAAGTGAAGGGGGGCTTTTCAGGGACACAGATGGGAAGGAGGTTGGGGTAGGAGGTGAGAGGAAAAAGACAAGACAAAGGGTGTACCTACACCAGAAGAAGATGAAGCTGATACTTTGTAGCACATCAGACATTGCTCTTAGAATTTAGGTCTACTGGCTCACCTTCTCATAGCCTGTGGTAGTTTGAATGTATTTGACCCCTCATAGTCTCATAGGGAGTGACACTATTAGGAGGTGTGGCTTTGTTGGGGTGGGTATGGCCTTGTTAGAGGGAGTGTGTCACTTTGAGGGCAGGCTTTGAGGTTTCCTATGCTCAGGATACCGCCCAGTGTCCCAGTTGACTTCCTATTGCCTGCAAGATGCAGGACTCTCAGCTACTCCTCCAGCACCATGTCTGCATGCATGCTGTTGTGCTCCCCGCTATGATGAAAATGGACCGAACCTTTGAACTGTAAGCTGCCACCTCAATTGAATGTTTTTCTTTATGAGTTGCCGTGGTCTCGGTGTCTCTTTACAGAAATAGACACTTAACTAAGACATAGCCTTATGTACATATGAGATGGGGGTCACTTGCCTATACTCACAGCATTGATTGGTCAAGGGCAGGGTCCTGACTCTGGCAGCCTCTGGGGCTTGAGTGTCACTGGCACACTCTGTCACTGTCTACTATGAGTCCATGCTGTCTAAGAGGAGGAAGCATGCTAGATGAGATCTGACGTGTGTGTTGGGGTTGCATGGTAAAGAGCTTTGTCTGACTGAATTGAGACTTTACCCTATGAATGCAGAAGGATCCTGTGCTGGAGGACCTGTAGTGGGTCTCAACCTTCCTAAGGCTGCGACTCTTTAATACAGTTTCTCACGTTATGGTGACCCCCAACCATAAAATTATTTCGTTGCTACTTCATAACTGTAATTTTGCTACTGTTATGAATCATACTGTGAATATCTGATATGCAGGATATCTGATATGTGACCCCCAAAGGGGTCATGGCCCATAGGTTAAGAACTGCTGCAAGCAGACCCAGGCTTTGGAAAACATTGTCTTGGCAGCTCTGTTGTAAGCCAGCTGTGGAACTGCATAGGGAGGAAAGTGCTCAGGATCAGGAGAACCCTTGAATACCAGGGCCCAGGACTTGCCAGTGGCTGATGCTGTGGCTTAGGTGCCTGTTGTGAAATATCGGTTACATTTGTTTATGCTGTGGGATATTTGTTTAATGCTGCAAAGATGTATTGCATTTTTAATGTTGCATTTGTTTAACTCTGTGATGCTGTGTTATTTTGCCTGCCTAAAACACCCAATTGGTCCAATAAAGATCGGGATGGCTAATAGCAAGGCAGGAGAAAGGATAGGTGGGGCTGGCAGGTAGGAAGAGAAATCTAGGCTCAGGAGGAGTGAGGAGCAAGAAAAGGAGAAGGAGAGAAGGATGCCAGGGGCCAGCCACCCAGCCACACAGTCAGCCACTGAGTAAGAAGGAAAGAAAGCTAAAAGCCCAGAGGCAAAATATAGTTAAAGAGAAATGGGATAATTTAAGTTAAGAAAAGATGGCTAGAAACAAGCTAAGGCCAGGCATTCACAAGTAAGAATAAATCTCCATGTATTTACTTGGGAGCTGAGTGGAGGGCCCCCAAAGAGTAAAAACAAACAAACAAACAAACAAACAAAACAACAACAACAACAACAACAAAAACCAAACCAAACAATTACAGGTGCCACTTGCTGCTGGCAGCCTGGAGGGCTGCTCTGAACTGCTGCAGTGTGATAACCACCTCACTGAGATGCTGTGAGTCCCGAGAGCCCAGGGTGGCATGAGGAAGGTCATGTTCTCCTGACGGGACTGTTGCAGTGTGGACACATGCTTACATCCTCATACCCTTCAGTCTCAAAGATTCTAGCTGCTGTGCTAACATGGGATCTGAGCCATCTTGAGGACCAGCTGTGCCTCCCACAGGGAGTCCACAGCTCCTTCCTGCTGCACAGTGGCCAAACTCAGATCCTTCTTCTGTCCCCTACTCCTGGCTTAACACCTGGGCTCCCAGGTCCCCGGCTGCTCCCACGCATGAAAACGAAGTTGGTTTGCCCCATTCTCACCTCTGTGCCCAGGACACTGGTGTCCCATCTTCTAGAACACAGCTCATTCTTCGTGCTTCAATCTCTCCCCACAGACTAATTTCTCAGCCTCACCTTGGCATACTCAAGAGGTTCATTAAAGCATTTTCCCAACAAAACAGCAATCTTCTCCCCAAGATGAATTCTGCTGCCATTCGTGGAATGCAAAAACAGCTGCAGGCATCTTTGAAAACCATGTTTTTATTTTCCCCTAGTATTAACTTTTGCCAAGAGGCCAGTGATGGAGACTGTCGCACATAGCTGGCATCCTGCTGAACAGGTATTTACCGAGGAGACCTTCTGCCTCTGTCTTTGTAACTATCGTCACAGCACACCCCTCCGGCCCAGGACGAGGAAAGCCAAGAATATGAAGTGGTTTGTTGGCTCTGAGAGTGAAACCAGCCCCTACCCGGGACCGCAGCTTATCTAGCTCAGGCAGAAATTCCTGACCCCTGCCACTCAACGCCCACACTCCTGGATTGCCAATCTCTTGTCTTGAAAACATCTGGTTAGAACAGACAGAGGTCTACAGAGAAGACGGCATCATCCGAGCCTCAAGTTATGCCTGCAAGTAATAATATAACATCCGGCAGGAAACCAAATCCAATCAGGTACCACACTTAGCTTTTGGTTATCCCTCAAAGGCTCATGTGTTTAGGACTTGGTCCCCAGTCTCCTGGGAAGAGGTAGGGTCTAATTGGGAGGAGGTTTGCTGCGGGCCGCAGGAATATCATAAGAACTCAGTTGGTTATGGCAAAGTCACTATCTGGAGGAATCAGGGAATTCCTCCAGAGGAAGCCAAATCCCAAGGAGTTTTTGGTGTTACTTGGCTTGTTATATATCAGCTGTATTTTGTTATGAAAATCATGTGTGCCTTCATAGTTTTCCCAATTGACTTTTCCCTAAGAAGGGCTAACAGTGTGGACTGATCACTCTCTGGACATACACATTCCAGGTGTTTGGAGAACTGCCTCAGGAAAGGCTTTCTCTGGAATCAGATATCTCCCTTAGCCACTTTCAAGGACTATCAGTAATAACAGTCCACATGCAAGTCTCCTGACTTAAGGTAAATTCCACAAGGAGACACCACCTAGGTCAGGTGGACGTTAAGTAACAGCTTTACACAATTTAGCTCGGACCCTCCTTTCTTACAGCCTTACTAACTTTATGGACCACTAACTCCTTACCTAAATTCTAGGATATTTAGATAACCTTCTGCACTGACAGCTATGCTCAGCCAGAACCCCAGTTCAAGCCTCCCTGTAATTATCATCATTGGCAGCATCTGGCCAGGTCCATCC